CAGATTTGTGACAAAACTTGGTTTTAAAAGTTGCTAGATTTTCAATTCAAAAGATAATGTTTCCAAATGTTTGTTCTGGAGAGGATCCATGTTTATTCACTTTGCATTTAATAATTAAGTGTAAGCTTTCAAGTAATCTTTTATTTTGGGCACATTGAGCACCCAAGGGAGAAATATGCCTTACAATATTAGTATTAGAATCAAAGGTTGCAGGTTAACAGTGTGTTGTTCCATGCAGTAATTGTTAATGTCACGGCTTGACAAGAGAATGCTATTGTTCAGTGCCAGACTCTGGAGCATGTTAAAGGACACGCCACGTTTTTTAACAAGCTTGTACTTCTTCACAAGTTTGATTCCCGTATTTGGATGAAATAAGTCTTCGATCCTAGATAAATGAATTGGTTTGGTGATATCTCCAAGCTTATGGTGGCAGCAGCATTATTTAATTAATATTAATGTTGTTTATTTTGTTTGCAGATCTGGCGTCATTTGAAGGTGCGGACAGCCGCGTCAGTACTCTGGTCACCGCGGCAACCAACACAGACAACCTGTGTCGCATGGACCCTGCCTGGCACCCCTGGCTGTAGTCATGCAATGATGCCGGAGGCAGGAACAACTGCAGCAAAAACCTTTTCTTTATTTTAGTTCTATTCTTTTTTTTTCGTTAATGTATTGTTGTTGTTTTTTTCTGTTGTCTGATTTATATAACAATCAGGTGTTTCATTTTTGTACTGAGCTTGATGCTCCATCTAATAAATGTCCTTGGTTCAGTCCACCACTCTTTGTAAATGGAATTGTTTCCTGTAGTGTCAATAAGATTGTAGAGTATGAAAAAGGAAGTTCTTTTGGAACTTGGAAATGTACAAAATACAAACCCATTATGTTAATATTGACATGTACAGTTTCTTTTGATGAGGTCAAGGGTTGATTTTTTCTGAAGTTGGAATTTCAGGAAGAGGCAGACATTTTAAAATTAGATTTTCCGTTCATTGCATTTTATTAGCAGATTTTTATAGGGATGAGTTCAGTCAGTTACATAACTGTGTGTACATGAGTTTGTGAGTTTTAAAAATTATTTCTTAATTGATGGTTCATCTTTTCAGTCAAAATGAAAAGAAGAGATTATGGTTTGCGGTGATTGAGTCCTGTCTAAAGACAGCCAAGTTTTTTTGTAACAAAATTTGGGGGACTGAAAAGTAATGGAATCATGAAGTAATAATGACAAAGAGTATGAGGTTTCTCAGCAGTGGCCTTTTCACCCTTACCTTCTTTCTTTCTGTCCAACTGAGAGTAACACAGGTCAGTGGAAGGGCTCATCTCTTCGACTTTGCTTTCTACAAAAGTACAAATAACCTGCATTTCTGTAAGTGTGTTGATGTCTAGGTCAATGTAAAATCTAAATGGGATTCGGTTGTGGGGACCAAATAGTTTATTTTTCTATTAATGCTGTGCTGGTACATGTGTGGAAGATGTGGATGAAAGGATTGTACGAGACTTGGATCACACCAGGTGAGAAAATTGATTGTCTGAAATTCAGAAGAGTATGCAGATTTCATTGAGGTATTGGCATATTGTATTATGAAAAGGAGTGTGTTATTATAAGAAAAGTGGTTGAAAGAGAGGGAGGAAAATGTGAAAGAGAGAAAGTGACGTGGAGAGAAAGCAAATCTTGCAGTTCTTGCTTGTCCCAACTTTGCACTTTTAACAACTACTAAGATATTGGCCATTGAAATCCTTGTGGTGGCTTTAGTATTACGTGTGGAAAGAACTTTGATTGTATATATGGTGCTTTTATTTTTTCACTACTGCATTGAAAACGCTGTCTAAGTGTAGATTTCTTAAAACTGTTCTTAGTCTTAGTTTCTAGGTCTAAAATTTTTAGGAATATGAAATGTATAATAAGTATATGGTTGCAAACGTGTGCTCAAAGTGTTCCTATTCAAAGGGATCTGTCTTAGTTCTATTTGGCACCATTAATTTCCTGTAGTTTTTTTTCTTGTGTTCTTTGGGAGGGGGGGGGGAGCAAAGGGAAGATCTAGATCTGTGGTTGTTAATGGTTATGTCAGCTGTTGCTTAAACCACGTTTTTTTAATTAGATATTGTCATTTCTATTTGGGGACTGTTCTTTTGTTGTCAACTGCAATTATAAAGTGTTCTGGTATAGGCTGTTCACTCAAGATATCGTGGCTTTTAGGGACAGCCTAAATCTACATAAGTTTCCATTTGTCTTTTCCGGTCAGTATTTATTTTCTCCGAGTCACACCTAAGGGCACTTTTTCACTGGACAAAGGGGCCTTTTCTGTCTTAATAAATAGCGGAGGCAAATAATTACATATAATATCATTAGGTGAGTAAAGTGCTCACGACGATGTCTTTCATGGTCTGACCCATGTTTGTGACAAAGCAAAATGTTTCTATTTCTCGTGCTCTTACAATAAGTACAAATGTTGTTTACCTACTGCCTAGATAGGTTAAATAACACAATAAATCACCTCAGAATTGTAATTCATTTACAAAGACAAAGAGATAACATTCTTGTTAAGTGCCAGATAGGTACCATTTTCTGTGAGCTGTCGCTCAGATACATTTTATTGAAATAAGCATACTGTCAAAATTTTGAATAAATGAATTAGTGTATTCTATCAAATTATTAGTATTAGCAGTAATTATTTTGTTTTTCAAATGGGTGGTCTATGTAGTGTTTATAATTGAATACATTTTGCTATTATTTTCTTAAAGCATACTTTTGTACAAACTTGTTTTAGAAAAATATTAATGTTATAGACCCCGATACACTGTTGCTTTTCTTAAGAGTTGTTAAACTTTGATCCTCATTGTGTGTAGATTGCCACTAATTCCATTACTGCCGTTACTAATTCTGTGGGTGTAAAAATATGCACAGTACATTTGTAAGTAAGATCATTTCATCATCATTCTATCAGAACTTTTTATGTACATTCCGCATTCGTCCCTTCTTATTCTCATTTCAGTGTTCATTCATGCAATCATTGATATTTTTCAATAAAAGTCAAACAATAAATTGATTTGTCCTATTATTATTTTGCAAAGATTACTGTTGTGAAAATTTGTCTCATGCTCATGTATTTCACTGATTAAGGGTAAGAGATGTCCAAATTTCTTATTGCAAGATTTAAACAGGAAATGCTTAGACACAGACTCCTCAGTAACTATGATTGCGACAAAACTACTTGGCGAAATGGTTTCATATTTACATTTATGTAACTCAGTCTTGTTATATTTGGCATTTGTTCCATCATGGTAAAATCAGGCTCTCATCAAAATAATGAAATCAAAGAAGCATTTTTCTGCCTGTTGGGCAATTTTTATCTCTGATATTTTTGTCTCTGTGTGGAAAGAGGGCGACACTGGTTGGTCCTCATTTTCTTTCTGATGTGTTGTCTGTTCTGTGTGTGTTTAGGGTGTCACTGGTGGGTCCTATTTTTCTTTATTTTGTGTCATCTGCAATCCCTCTTATTCTTTCCTGGAACTAAAGGGCAATCATTGAATTGCAGGGGGCACTTGTGACCTAGAGGGTGAGGAGTTCGCCTCTCATTCAATAGGTCCTGGGTTCGAATCTGGATAGCGACGGAAATATTTCTTCTCTAAAATTGTCTTTCACCTCCATTCCTTCTCTGTAGCAATGTTCTGTCGTCTGCTTTTACCTCCACTTTCTGCCCCCACCCCCTTACCTCCTTTGCCCCCTCCTCTGGGCTCCTGACTCTTTCTGCAGCTTTTTAGCAGCTACTTCTTGGCTCCTTCTTACTGCTGTCTTTCAGCCACACCCCTGATCCTATGGTAGAGAAGATTTACACCTAGCCTTCTCTGACGAGGGCGAAAAATTTCGGAGATCTTATATGCAAGCTGTGCACGTTAAAGATCCCTTGGTGGTTTAAAATCGATAAGAGCAGGCTTCCACCGCCACCAGGGCAAAATTGAAAATTTTCTACCAACTGAAAATGTTTAATGTGACCAGTGCGCTCATATGACCTTATGCAGTTGCGAGCACCGTAAAACATTTACACCCCCCTCCCCCAAAAAAAAAATTGAATTGTATTGATGTGCTCAAGATAGACAGAAAAGCAGTACCACCAACCATCAGTGGCTTCCTCCAAGCACCCACTCAAATTGACCGAAATACTCCATTCAATTTTTAAGTAGAAAAAAAAAAAAGAACACAAATGTGAATTGTATTTTCGCTTTATTTGAAACAGCAAAACATAATATCTATCAGCCTCCATATAGTTTCATATCTTCAGTTCAAGTAATAAAAGATTAAGTTTGAAGGCAAATATATCTTCAGATAAAAATCGAAGCAATCTTTTGTGAGTGCCATAAAAAAACGTATTGACAGAATTGTGCTTCAGACCATGCTCTCCCACCACAAAAGTTGTGGTTGTGGTACACATTTTCTTGGGGGGAAAAAACCTGTCTATACTGGCAGGACATCATTCAATATCTCCAAGGTGACAAAAGGGATAGGAACTATCTGTTCTCCAATCTTTGGCCTTTTTCTATTCAACACACAAACGACAATGGATTTCCAATATCTCCCCTGCAGTTGACATATAAAGAAAGTGCATATAAATAAAAAACTATTCAAACTGAAAAAGATTGAAACTGAGACTGTTTGAGAAATGAGATATACTGGAGAAAAAAAAACTTCCAAGGTATTACCGATATCTTTGATGCCATAACAGACACCTATCACCTACAAAAATGTAACAGACACCTTCAAAGTCGTAATTAATACCACTGATGGCATAAATGACTCCTCCAATGGACATCCAAATTCATAACTAACACCTCCAACGGCACACAAAACTCGCCCCACGGGAACAAAGGCTGGCACCAACTCTCAAAAGGAGACTGCTCTATGACGATTATAATACTCTACAGCTCTAGTAAATATCCATTTTACTTTTAAAAGTATTGAAACCTTTACTGTCTAAACAAACTAAAGCACTATATTCTGTCATGATAACAACACTACTCTTGGAATTTCAGCTTACGGGAAGATGTAACCTGTTGTACTACTTAATAAAAAGTATTCAGACCTAGCACAGAATACAAGGAATAAAAAGACACAAACTGATTTGCAGTAAGTTGCAGTCATATCAGATACCTTAATATTTGTTAAACTAAAGAATTGAAGATAACTGTCTTATGAGACACAGATCTTTTTCAAGACACATATGTACATCACTTTGGTTATGCTTTTCATGGTAATGAAATTGTAAATGAGAATCAAAAAAACTTGTCATGGCTTTTCGTGTGAAGAGAATGTACTATAGCTTGTTCACTTTCATTTGACTACGATTAAAACAAGGTAAAATAAAATTGCTTCGTTTAATCTTCTCAGACTTTTTGCATACGTGTCTTAAAGTAAAAGTTGGAAGATCAATAGACTCTTAAAACTACAAGCATACACTAAAATGTGAGGGCAGAGTGGTGTCGCTCTCTCAAAATGAGCAACTTGTAGGCTAGGTTTCTGTTTGTGGTTTATTTTAGTTATTCAATCGGGTGAATGCACCCAAACAGTAGTTTTTTTTAATAGGGCCCAAATAGAGAAACTGATTACTGGATCAAGAATTTTTTTTAAATTTATTTTTGTTTGGTCGTTGCCCTGCAGAAATGTCATGCAAAAGTTTGTGGGCATAGATAAAATAATAAACAAGCTAGAATTTGTTATAACGCAGACTGGTGAAAGTGAACAAGCTATACAACTGATACTGCAATTCTGCAGTATAACACTGCTAACCACAAAACACTATACAAATATAAGCAATATCCTTCATCATAGAATGAGTGACAAACATCATCAAATTCACTGTGACAGGAAAAAAAAATGTACTAATGTATCTTTTGTCAACAAGCTTGTTTGCTTTCATTTTCAAAATATTCTCAGAACAACATTTACCAATAGATCTTTTGCAAAGGGTTTCTCAACAAACAAACGCTTTCATTTCAACTTTCAAAATGTTCTCACTGTAAGTATAGACAGCTGCTCTTGAACAAGGATAGTACTGATCAGATCTGAAAATGTAACGGAGATAGTTCAACAGATTCAACAGCAGGCAACACCAGGCAAAGCATAATCTCATGACCTGACTCATAACACAATCACCACACGACTTCACACAACATGATTAAATGAACTGAAATAAACATGCACACATCAAAGCATGCGCGCGCACACACACACACACAAAATGATCACATAACCTGACAAGTAGCATAACCCCATGACCTAAAACCAATGATGATACATAACAAGATGGACCACTCAGCCCAAAAAAGTGTCCGCCGAAAGTCCACGCATTGGCTCAGATGACATTGCTGTCTTTGTTTTGAAGCTCTCTTTCGTTTCTCCAGAAGAAAAATAGGAATAGCACCCACTTGCGTGCGAAGATCGACTGCTGTTCATCAGCTGTTCGGGTTTGTTCAGGGTAGAGTTTTAGGGTTTTTTAAAAATTATAATGACCTCTCGCCTCTCATTTAAACATCAAATTAAACGAAGAAAACAGTCGCCTCCTCCTCCGGAAGAGGTTTTTTGTCAGCGTAACCATTTTAAAAAAGCATTCTTCCAAAATTTGAATTCGTATTTATTCAAAAACTTATTAGTTTCACTTTGATTTTTTTCACACAAGTAGGGTAACTCTGTTCTCAAAGGGTGCGCATTTGCGAAGAGGGCGTCACCAAATTTTGATGACACTTTTTAATTGGCTCAAAGAGAGGAGTGAACTCTCTGTTATGTAGGCTCTTTGCTAAAACACAACATGATCGCATGACCGGACACTACATGGGTACATGTTCATGTGACATACAACATGACTTAGACTTCACAAGCACGGATCGTTGCTCTGAGGATGGATGATAAGCAGCATGGTGTTCATCATGGAATTCTTTCTACTCTGCTGCAACTGAAAAATCCCACAGAGCTATATTTCAATTCATATGCTGACCATCCACCGATACAAGAACTTACTCAAGCCATTAGGCATTGGAAATAAAAGAGCAGAAAAGTTAAATATATTTGAAACTACACAGACACACACAAACAAACAAACACACAAAAAATAACCAGTGCAAACAATTTTTCATTCCAGTTTCAAAACACTTCAAGGAAAGACCATTTCACAACAGTTCCCATGACACAATCATGTACATGTACACACACACACACAAAAAAGAGCGAGTGAAAATATTCAACTGGCAACTGGCCTTCTGAGAACTTGTCAGTGTTTTTAAAACATTATGCCATTTTAACAATCCCAGCCACTGTTTCAAATAATAATCACTACGAATTGTATGCAAGCAGAAAATTTTCCCATAAGAAGACCCAGAAAAAGCCATAACATTAGATAACCTTTAAAAAGAAATCCCTCACTGAGAAAAAGAGGGGGGAAACATTGATGACTCCTGTTTCACACTCAATCACACAACTTATTCGACCGGGTAAAAATTTCTGGGGAATTAAGACAGGTGACAGGTTGGGTGTGTTTCGTTGGGGGGTTTTTGGTAACTGAATCAACCAATTCTGAATTGCAACAGTCTCATCATACACAACACCCACGTCTTCTGCAACAAAGTCTTTTCCTTAACTAAAAAAAAACAATTGAAAAGACCTTAGTACCATTACAGGGGGTGGCCTCTATTAGACCAAATCATATGTAGTCGTGCTTTTCGTAAACAACCACAGCTTGAATGAAAGACTGTAGATGTAGAAGACAAACATGGCATCACGATATAAATATTAAAATTTAAACCTCACAAGTGAGGAATATAAAGACAAAAACTTTACAAATATGCAAAAAACATTTTGGATAGAAATTTTACTCTTTCAAGATTAAAAAATCCTTCAACTTTCCACCAAGTCTTTATAAGATTACTTAAACCGCAGTAGAAATATAGACATTTTTGGGCTCAAACAAGTCCAAAGAGTTGAAATGGACAGGGAACCAACATTTTTCCCTATATATTTATTGAGACCTTTAGAGAAATTTACAGAGGAAAAGTTCTGGGCCATAAATCAAAATTTTATATGAGGATTGAAAGTTGTGAACCTCAACCGAAAGAGAGAACAAGGAATGCAAGATGAGGTTAAGACAAGGATGAAAACAAAAAAAAGTTTTCTCGGTGACAGAGTAAGTAGCATGTCCACAAGTTCTATATTTCTCTTCAAACAATAGCCGATAGCTGCAAGTAAATGTCCAAACAAAAAAACGTGAGGATTTTTCTTTTTTTACAAAAACAAAAACATTTGGATTTTTCCTGCACAAACTAAACCAAAAAATAAATCAATAAATAAATGAACAAAAAAGGTTGGAATTTTTCCGTACAGAAACAAAAAATGTGTTTTCTGTTTCAAATGTATTATTCAAGAGCGGGTGGCAGGTTGTTTTCTGCACAAATACAATAATTTAGGAACCACAACCAAAAAAATGCAAGTTAAATAACAAATGAAAGAACTTAGACAAACAGAATTAAACAATCCAGATCCCATATCTTCTCTCTTCAAAACAAGTTTGAGTAACCTAACAAAATATTGCAGTCACACCGACATATTCCTCTGCCACTTGAAAAGGGTTTTTTGTTTGTTTACATTTAAACTTTACCAGTATTAACAAAAATGATTAAATATTTGATAACTAAATGCTGCAAGGCAAATCAGTAACAAGCATTAGTACAGATTTTCAGACAGTCTGTCCCCTTTTACAGAACAAATAAAATTTATAACGAGGAAAGAAGGGCAGACATGTAAAAATCATAGAATTTACTATCAGGTGTGTGAGGGGAGTGGAAAGTTACCCTAGGCTTTCCAAATCATTGTTATGCACCCAAATAAAAACAAACCCCATTTAGAGATTGAAAGTTCAAATACAAAAGAAATTGATTCTGATGAGTTCTGACTGGCCTCGTCCTGAGAAATCAAATTACAAGTTCTCAAGAGTTCAAAGCAGCAGACTAATTGAGAATATTTTCTCACTTCAAACTTACATGGACACAACATGGCAACACCTTCAACAGACATGAGACAGTCGGTGAGCTCATCAGACAGAAAAGTTTGGGGAGGGGGGGGTGGTTGTAAGTAAAGATTTTGTATGACTTTTCCAGAGCTTGCAACATAAATAAGTCTCCTGTGAATGCCAGTGGTGTCACTAAAGAGTAACATTCACAGAAAAGAAGGGAGAGAGATGCCAATGATAGATATTTGATAGGAAAGCAGGACCAGATTAAAAAGGCCAACTACTTGACATAAGATAGAGTGCAAACCTTACAACTAACTACCTCTCTATGAAGCATAAAGGCATAGACACCTTCCCTGCTTTACCAAAGGCATGGGCAATTGAAAAAGCATCAGGTGTGACAAACTCCACATATATTTGCTTTGAGATTGATTGAAATCTTTCAGCGTCAGACGATTAATGAGAAAAGCCAGAGCATGGCCATATTTTGTCCATAAAATCGGGACCTCAGAAGTTTTATAAAATAAAAATTCAGTTTCCTAAACAAAATCGGGATATAAGGCAAACTGGGATGATAGGCATAGACAACTGCGGCCATTTCACCACAGACTAAACAATGATAGTAAACTCGCTCCTTCGTCAGATCAACAAACAAACTTTGTAGTCTTCAGTACACCCAAAAACATTTTATACATATTTACACCCTGCATGGTTATGCTCACAATTTGTACCCTGCATGGCTTTGCACACAGCTTCTTAACATTCAACACTCAGAACTGTCCAGCTAGTGAAAAACAAACAATCATTGACACAGTATATGTGTATATGAACTTAGGATGAGAACTAGAATAAACTTGTACGATATTCCATTTGCCAATTAAAATGTGACAAAAAAGTACCCTCCCTCCACCCATTTGTGCATTTTGGCCTTACTGACAGTGGGAGATGAACCAATATATATATATATATATATATATATATATATATATATATAACAAAGACAGCAGTAAAAAAAAAAAACTTTCAAAAACATATGGACAGTTTCACGACAAAACACAACATATCCATTTTCCTGGTTTTGTTTTTAAAAATAATAAATGAAGATTTCTGTTCTTCACCCACATACCAAATCCGAAATAAATAATCTTGAGCAACTTTGTCTCTTAAGTAAACGAGACATACGGGCTAAGTTGATATTTGTTGTGCGATGAAATGTATCACGTTAGAATCTTATCTTTTAAATTTTTTACAAAACGTGACGCACCCACATTATAATAATGAGGAAGTGAAAAGAGCTGCCGACAAACTTTCGCGGACCATAAAACAGTCATGTGACTCAAAGAGAGTCGCTGTGTGTCCAAAAAGGTCTACTGCTTTTGTGTTGTGGGGGGGTTTTTTAAATAAAAAAGAGTCACTTTTCCAAGTTCTTTACTCTATAACCCCGAGTGGATGATGGAGGTGTCAAGTGAAACTTGCCAAGTTTGGTCAGATCGCAGAGTGCATGTAGTATTACTGCTACTGCTATCTCTTACAAATCCGAACAGATTTATCTTGACTAGGAAATTCTAAAAACTACTTCCTCTTTCACTTTGACACAGCATAGTTATTTTATGAATATTTTGCATGTATACCCCCATTGCCAGTTTCACAAGATCTAGAAAAAATTCCATCAAAACGTTGGAAAAATAATTGCGGGGTTAAGACTTTTAAAGGCTGAAAAATCGCATTTTGTAGAAAAAAAAGAAGTTGACTCTGGAATGTGCCACATCTTTCTAGTTCTAGATATGACTACAAATTTTGGCCAAAACTTGAAAAATGGCTTTCGTCATATTCTGTCGTCAGACTGTTCATATGTTTTTTTCCAATTTTAGAAAGAAAAAAAAAGAAAAAATGAAGAAAACTTCAAAATTTGTGAAGAAAAAGAGGGACACAACATCAATATAAAATCTAATAACAATTGTCTGAACTGCAAATGGCTTAAATACCATGCAGACACGCTACTTCTGTTTACAAGAAGATGCAGTCACTCATAGTAACATAGCCAGAGCTGAACGACATCACTGGCCACAAAGAGAACACAAAGCCAGTGTCAATCATTCAAAATACAACAATCTACCTTTGGGTCCTGAGTCTCAAAGTTGTAACAAAGTTTGCAATCTTCCACAGTTGTTACTTGTCAAGCCATAAATGTACATATGCCGGTGTATCTTTCATTTTATCATATTTCTTTTTCTCAAGAGTTTTCTCTGCCATCACAGCATCCCTCTCACAAAAGCACACAGCACAGTGTAAGAACAAAAAAATACACTCGCTACAGAATTTGCAAATGCAACAAATACTCAATTTCAAATGCAACAAATACTTGGTCAAGAGAATTCTTTCCACCAAAGACCAATTTGTGCGAATGCTGTAATCCTCCAAGACACTTTTTTACCAAATGAAATCCCTAAGCAGACAGACTGCTCTAAAAAAAAACGATTGTAGAGCAACCGATCACATATATGCCTGGGAATATCGTTACATCAGAGTTTCAGGACAAGGATCCCTATACAGGGTAGAAAAAATCAGTGTCTGGAGCAAAACAAGAAGGTAAGTACCGACATGAAACTATAGTGGAACAGGAACACCAAACGAAATATAACAGCTGATTTGTCTGCAGCCACAACGTCCTCAGCATCATCATCATAGTAACATAGTTGTCACCATCGTTATGTCTGGCTTCCGCTGGGTGAACAGACGCAACCCCCCCCCCTTCCACCAGGCCTAAGGCTGTGCGGCTGGACTTGTGTTGTTTGAGCGGAAAGACGCGGCACCGTCGCTGCCCATGTCGCAGTCCGGCACGTACTGGAAGTCACAAGGCTGCTGTTGCTGGGGTGGAGGGATGACACTGCGGGCGACATGGCGAGTATTTGTCTCTAGCATGCTCGGGTGGAACAGGGCGTGCCGTTTGGCATGTTTGATCTTGTGATCGCTGCGCATGAAACGTTTATCACACAGGGGGCACTGGAACGTCTTCTCGCCTGAAATGTGGACAAAAAGACATGGCCATTTAGAGCATAGGTAGAGGGAGAATGAAGCTAGGCTTTTGAGGAGACAATCGAAGAGGCTGTTATGGATTGTAACAACTGGAGACAGCTTGTTGATGGCTTAGATTCCACATATCAAAGTGACAAGACAATGATGAATATGACTTTGGAGTTCAAATCCAGTTCTGAACTTACTTTGTTTAGGAACTATCAAAGCCCTTCACTTCGTCGTAGGCAACAGGTTCTTAAACTATAACGCTGAAGCAAAGTGCTAAAAAGGACAACGAAATTAAAAGTCACATGTTAATACTCGAATGACAATAAATGTTCTACACCTCTTTCAACACCATTTATATTCTTGAGGATGTGGGCTGCTTTATTTAACTATGTCTGTCAGGGTCAGCCCAGGCTGGTGGGAGACAACAAAAACCCCAGTAGAAAGGTGAAAAGACTCAATAAAATATCTTCTGCTTGTGGGAATCGAACTCACATCTGTCATGAATGAGAAGAGGGCTAACCAACACACCAAACACCCCCCCCCCCCTTTCCATAGGGTCATCAGTTGACTTACCTGTGTGTGTCCGCTTGTGTCGTGTGAGCTCATCAGATCTGGCGAATCGTTTCCCACAGCCCAACCAGTCGCACTCAAACGGCCTTTCGCCTGGGAAAACAGAGCAGTGCACCAAGGTTCAAACACAGAAGAAAAAGAAAAAAATACTTTTTTTTACAATGTTCTAACTTTCTGCGATACCCTCTCCTATCTTGTGAGTGGGTGAGTGCGCGTCCCAAAATTTCAATAAACCGCAGAGGCAAACATTCAACACACTCCACTACCTCAAAAAGTGGGTGTTTAATGAAGAATATTTCACCATTCATTAACTGAATAGGCTTCAATCCAGTGTACTGGGTAAAAGGACAACGGACGGAGGGAGGGGGCGGGGTGTAATCTTCTTCCAACAGGTGATGGGATACACCTGTGCAGTGTACGTTGTTGACGGCTGAACGTGAAAAGGCCGCATTCCAGGGTTTGAAAACCCCCCCACCTTTTTAGAGCTGTTAACTCTCCACCCTGCCACTTCCTTAGACTTAGACCAGATCCCATCACACATAACAGGAATCGTCTGAAATCGGCCATACCTTCCTTTCGAAGAAAGATCAGGGAAAAAAAACAATACCATCAATGGGTCATGTTTTCCTTACGAAGAACATTCGGAAATCGAAATACATGAAAAAACTAAAATTGACTGTTTTCCCCTTTCATAAACCGATACGTGTTCATCGTTTGGTTTTTTAATTGGGTCTCACAGTCACAGGTTTCCTTAACTGAGCCACAAATGTAGGACCCGTGAGAGCCTGCTGAAAACAGACGAGATGATGACTCCGCAGAAAAAAGCCATTCTCCCCGAGGTGTGCGCGTGAGAGAGAGAGAGAGAAGGGGGGGGGAGAGAGAGAGAGAGAGAGAAAGAGAGAGAGAGAGAGAGAGACTGGGTGGAGATGCAACCAATAGCGAAACACGGGTGGAGATGCAACCAATAGCGAAACACGTGTATGCATGTGTGCACGTAGTTTAAAGGCCAGCAAGACACATAGGCAGTAAACTAAACAGAACAAAAAAGTCAAACCCGCGTGTGTGCGTGTGGGAGAGATACGTTTAAGCAATAAGAGTTTTAAAAATGTAATAGAATATTTACTGAACACGTGTATCGTACAACGCAACCTGTAGTGGTTTTTTTTTAATTCTTTTCTTTCTGGTAAGTGTAGATCTAAAGTTCATTAGCACAGTACCCTGTTTGAGCGTGTAAAAATTGACAGTTTCAGAATACACTTGCTTGTCAGAGTAATAATCAAAGATAGTACAGCCTAGGGTGTAGTATCTTTGATAATATTTTCTTTGTCACTAAATGTAGAAGCAGTGTACTCTTTTGCTTTAGAACAAGAAGCCGAACGGATTATTTGGATAAAACATTCTCCTTTGTTGGCCTGTGTTGTTATGGCATAATATTATTATACAGCCAATAGTGAATGGCATGTGTCTACGTCTGTATTTTTTCAGAGGGG